ACCTTAATATCCTTTCTTGCAGATATATACCCTTCCTTTCTCCCAGACACCCATACTACCTCGCACATCATCGCAATACGTCTGTCGACGCGGCACCGTATCTGTGGTTGTCCTACCACGCCGCCACTCTGAAGTTTCGTCTGATTTTGTACTTGGCTTTGACAACATGGATCGGTACGCGACTCATGCGCCAGTTCTAATATACGTCGCTGATCTTATTCTTGATCATTGACAGCTACGCGAAGATCGAGAAAGTTGGTGCGTGCTGCAGTGTTACAATAATGCTGTGCCATGAATGACCTCGTGTGGCGAACACATTGCAGGAGAGGGTACGCATCAATCTGCTGCCACCCCTGTCGCCAGCTGATCTAATGCTGTGTCTCCATCATTCCCGTGGTGTTATATGTGTATAGGAACCTACGGAGTCGTCTACAAAGCAAAAGACATGACCACCAACCAGATTGTTGCCCTCAAGAAAATACGCCTGGAGGCTGAAGATGAAGGCGTGCCAAGTACTGCTATTCGCGAAATTAGTCTGCTGAAGGAGCTTAAGGACGACAATATCGTTAGGTAATGCATAGAGCGTGGTTCCTCAGGGTTGAGTGTACTCACGTGCTTTTCCACAGACTGTTAGACATCGTGCATGCAGACCAGAAGCTCTATCTTGTCTTCGAGTTTCTTGATGTTGACCTCAAACGGTACATGGAACATGCAAATTCCAGCGGCTCCCCCATTTCCATCGAGATATCCAAAGTAAGTCACATATCTTCTATTGCTCAATGTATTACAGGGTCCTGCCAGTGGTGTGGGTATTTACGTGGCAATACACGACGCTGTCGTCACTTCGATGCACTGGTTGCGGGCGTCAGCATGCAACATCAATTCTTCATACTTGGCCGTTTGCCTAGATGCGTTCGGGCCTTTTCCGCATTCGTTGCGCGAAGTGAATCAGGGTTACCCTGCCCACTATCACATCGATTGTGACAATAGGGGGTTGCGCGCCCGATCACGTGATTGGTCAGGCTAGGTGTCCGCACAACAGCATGTTTATGGTTTTCCTTCACACTTGGCCTGCCTTCGTTGTTCTCAGTTAATTAATGCGTTGAACCCTGCTGAATTATTCTTCGTTATGTTAGAAATTTACTCACCAACTCAGCTCTGGACTGCTTTACTGCCACTCGCATCGCATTCTTCACCGAGATCTCAAGCCACAAAACTTGCTCATCGATAAACGCAACAACCTCAAGCTTGCAGATTTTGGACTGGCTAGAGCGTTCGGTATACCCATGAGAACTTATACGCACGAGGTGAGTGTTTTGTTCTTCCCGTTTAGTACTTGTCTCCTGCTGTATAGTGTATGTATCTCATCTTTCATATGTGTCTCGACCTAGGTCGTAACGCTTTGGTACCGTGCACCTGAGGTGTTACTTGGGTCTAGGCACTATGCAACAGCCATTGACATGTGGTCCGTTGGGTGCATATTTGCGGAGATGGTCATGAGAGGAAACCCACTATTCCCCGGTGACTCGGAGATCGATCAAATCTTCAAGATCTTCAGGTATGTTTGGACTATGTATTCACATATTTTTCCTGACACGGTTATCCAAGAATTTTGGGAACGCCAAATGAGCAAGTCTGGCCAGGAGTCAGTCAATTACCTGACTACAAGGAGACGTTCCCTCAGTGGTCGAAGCAAGAGTTGCGTAATATTGTGCCTAACCTAGATGACATGGGCATTGATTTGCTATCGGTGAGTTGTCGCATTTATTTGTGGGATTTAGAGTGTATGCCGTTGTGTATCTTATTTACACACTGTATCTCCTAGCGAACGTTGACCTACGACACGGCGAAGCGCATTTCAGGTAAGTCCCCGCTGTCACATTCCATGCTTCCGGTCTAGTCATGCATTTTGCTTCCAGCGAAACGTGCCCTGGTTCACCCATGGTTCGCCGATTATAATTCGTGAAAGGGCACCGTTAGATATCATCGTCACAGTTTGTCTCCCCTTCACGGTCACACCTTCTGTTCTTTGGCTGCATATATGATTTTCGTGTTTCGCATAAGTTTTAGTCCACCTGTCGCAATTATCGGTGTTATACTACGCCAATGTTTATAGTGTGTAGACATTTTCCAACGTGCTGTCAGGTGTCACAATTTCTGGTGATCGGTCAGTGACCTTGCCGGACTATTCCCACAAATGGAGAGGTTACGGCCACATGCCCAAGCGTTACTGTGATAAAGGCAGCATCGCCATTCGGTCACGGCTCGAGTGACTCCATTCCTTCATTCCTCCCCTCACCATTGACTCAAGGTCCTCTACAGCATCTCTGATTTTCGTCGATAAAAGTTTCCTGTTGGGATCCATAGACATCATGGACGACGACGTCCAGTACTTGGGTACGAACTTTGCACCGCTAGAGCCCCTGGACAGCCCCTGTGGAGCGCAAGAGTCGGTTACGGGCATGTCGCCTTGTCCATCGGCCTCGAGGATGATGTTAACTCTTATCATATATAGGGATTACCTTGCATGTTGAGAAATGCGGCGAGAAGCCTGCTCATGGAATCACGTTTCACCGATCCCGCTCAAGCTACGTGAACATCGGTCGCAAATCAGGGACCGACGATAAGTCAATGAGAAGAGAGAACGACCATCATAATGCAGTTTTCGCATGCCAGGTAGTGAGCGCGAGGCATGCCAAGCTAGTCCTTTCGGACAGCGGACAGGTATGATTCTATTCGAAATTCATGTGAGCGCTAAGCTCAACAAGAATGATAGGTCTACATCGTTGACCTCCACTCACGACATGGGACACATATCTTGAGGCGCGGCGAAGCGCCAAAGATGTTGAAGGCCGAAGTCGAAACTGCTCTTTCCGATGGCGACATCATTACCTTTGGTAAAGTAGTTGGCGCCGGCTCGTATATCGTCTCTCCTGTTACTGTGCGTGTTGAGCTCCTCAGGGGCAACTCGTCTTCCAAGCTATCCCCCGTCCTCGCGCTGACTCCTATAAACTCTTTGAGTAATGTGGTCTCTCGGACGCGAAAGCTGAGCTCAGGACGCTATGGGCTCTTTCTTCCTCCTTCTTATATCGAATCCGAGTCCCCGCATTCTACATCCTCATTATATGCATCCTCTGACGAGGCTTCTTCACCATCTGAACAAGAATCTGACGCAGAGGATGCTCAATCTTGTGCACCTTCTCTCCTCTGCGATAGCCAGGAGAAAGCTTCGGTCAAGATCCCGACGTTCCGCTCTTTCATCAAGGATATGTACAATACCAATATCTCGCGTTCCCCCTCTGTCACAGGCGACCTTGATGTGCCCTTAGTAGACGACCCTAGGTCACCTTCCTCGTCTTTTGAGGCGCTCAGCCAGCCCTCCTCTGTTGTGGTGGTCATCGGCCCTTCTTCTAGATCTCATTCTCAATCACCCATGGAGTTATCTACTCCATCTCCATCCCCGCCCTCGGAAGCCCGACAATCAGAGCCGGCGGTCATCGGTGCATGGCCTGCTTCCAGACCGGAGTCGCCACAGCATTCATCGGTGGCAGGCGGGCCACCGAAACTCGATACGCCAGCTGAGCCCGAGCCTGAGCCCATGCCTACTCAGCCATCCCCCAGTGCGAGTGGGATCCCTAATCTGTTCTGTGACAGCGTTTCCAATGACATGACGAGCCTTCCTCCCCGTCCGTTCCTTCCAGTCGACGGGGCCTTCGGCAACTCGAACCCGATGATATCTGCCTTTAATTTCCATCCGTCAATACTTCTCCCTTCTCCTCCCCCTCCTCTACCTCTACCCCCTCCGCCACATCTTCACATGCTACCATTCCACAGAGTGCTAGCTGATCGCATCGGCTCTGAGCTTAAAGCGTCCATCAAGAGCGTCGAGGTAAAGTTCGTTTGCCATTATGATGTGTCCCTGTATCTGACACGAATTACAGGACCAGGTGACTGCTTTGGAAGGATCTGTCACTAGTCTTAAATCGCGTCAGTCTTTCACCGAAGACGACGTTATGGACCTCCAAAATCACGTTGATAAGCTCGAACCCGAGTCGGAGCGTTTACTCTGCCGCGTCAACGTGGCTGAGCGTAATATCGCTTCGCTATCCAGTCTTCCCAGCCAAGTGAACACGCTCCGTAGTAGGCTCGACACACCGGAACCCCGGCCTCTTGAAGCACATCTGAGTGACGTGAAAGTCTGTGCCGAGGCATTGAACAATCTAGTCTCCGGTTTGTTGCATTGATTCCCGGTGGCATGCTGGGACACTGACATGCTTTACAGAGATGAAATCCTTGCGGGAAGATGCTGAGAAGCGGATAGAAGATAAGATGGAAGCTATCAATACGGCTCGTACTGAGGCGCTGAATGCAATTGCCGCTGAGGTTGAGGCCCAACGTAGTCACGTCTCTGACGTCGTGGTGGCCCTGAAGTCCCGGAAGCGGAAACGCTCCGATGCTGACGACTCGGAACATCAGGTTCCTCCAGGCGTTGCAACAGATGATGCGGTCGGTGAACAAGCCGTTGCCAGTCCGACGCCGGCTGTCTGCGATGCCCCCACTCCAGAAACGTCCAGGCCGCAGAAACGAGCCAAGATGATAATGTACACAGTCGCTCAAACAGCTGCAACCGTGGCCATCGGGGCGGTGGCTACATGGTCTGCTTTGGCGTTTGCTTGAGGAGGACGATTTCAATGCCATCTCATGTAATAGGATTGTAACAGGATGTACCTTAATATGCGTACGAATTTTCTCGATGTACCCTTGTTGTTGTAGATCCACGTGTACGGTGTATTATGAACTTGTCCTGGAGCAATGTATGTGATATGTAACCCCTAAGGCCTGAAATCTCTGCAGAGGTTTGTACAACAAAATACAACTGGTTAGCGTAGTTGATTCTTATATGTACTTAATTAGGAGTGTGTGGACGCGTTGTTCAACCTGTTGCACGCCGTCAGGTTTATCGTACCATTCATTAATACAATAAGCTGGAGAAAAAAACGTTCGGATACCGGGAGTCGAACCCGGAGCTGCTGTGATCAGGTGATTGTGTAATACTGAAAGACAGCCATGTTAGCCGCTACACCATATCCGATGTGAATGATGTGTTTCTTGGGCGTTTTTGATGAAGGGAAATGTATGAGTATTAGGTCAGCTACGGGTGAGGGCTGCCTTTTTCATACCCTTTCTCTCACCTTACTAATCCAACCTTTTTGTGGTCCGTGCGCGCAGACCCAAAGATTTAAATACCTTGGCCGTACATTCTGAATCTTTACCACTCTGGCCTTTTGGCTTAGATCAAGTGTAGTATCTGTTCTTAATAGTTTAACCACTATTATGAGGGCACCGCCCTCATTCTTTGGTTATCAAATTTTTGCCGCCCTTGTCTCTCGTGAGCTCTGCTTGCAACTCCGAGAGCGTGATGACCCTGCCACTGCAGTACAGGCCTGTGTCGTCGGGGGATCATTCCCTTTTTGGCTTTGCTTTGCTTTCTCTTTGCTGGCTTATCTATTTGTCATCATTTGATGGTAATCTGGTAGTCAGCAAACAGAACTGCAAGTTGGTCAGGAAGTGTTTTGTATAATTATTGTGTATTTTAAATGTTGGTTGAGATATGGTTATCTGGTATGTTTTCATGATGAAATTTCAGTTTTTAATACAAGATATTATATTAACATAGGCTGTCAATAATGTGCTTTATCAATGTCTGGCATGACCTTGCATTTATGCTACCTCTGATTGACTGTTGTGCTCTGCCACAGGTGTTGCATTACCCCCTTTATTGATTGGGTTGTACTGCAATTCCACAGGCTATAAGCCAAGTGAACCTGCTTGATTGAGCATGCTAAACAAATCAGAGCTTCATTGTCAAACTCGGAGGGGCAATGTGAGGAAACATTGAATGTCTTCCGCATCGTCACTCGATAGTGTCAATAATAATATCGATCCTATACGACGAAGAAATATCATTACTTGGAGGCCAATTGCGAGTCAACCACGAAAGTTGCTAGCTCGAGTACGCTTCACAGCATCTGTCCGACAGCACGCAAACTCCAGAAAAATCGGTACGCTCGTATCAAGACCGCCGACATGCAGCATGGCTATTTTACAGATTGAGGTTGAAGGGGGAGCAACCAGTGTTGATGAAACCATTCTGGGAAATACCAATATCAATATCGTTGGCTTCAACGGAAGAATTATCAGGATTCGTGGGCTCACGTATGTATTCCCAGTGCAGCAAACGGGCTGCTGTTGACAATCGGCGCCGCTGCCGGTTCCGATGACAGTGATGGGCGTGCAGCTCAAGCCGACGAGGCCATCGACACTAGTAAGGATGTCAAGGATGCCAAGGAGGGAGGCCGCGCCGCTATTGGCCTGTGAACGGGGGGATCAGAGAAATGAATGATAGCAAGACACTACGGTGACTCACATCCAAGGTCTGGTTGCAGCATGAGAGAGTACCAGTGTCGCACTGGCTACCGCCGGTGTCTCCACGTGCGGCAATGGCCTCAGATCCGGGAGCAGCGATGGCAGTGGTAGCGAGCCCGACGAGAGAGAGGATGAGGGTGGATGCCCGAATGAACATTTTGATTAGAGATGAAGGACTTGGATCTTGCTTATTGTAAAGAGGCCGACGGGGGCTCGCTTTTATACGCCCTACAACACGGTCTAACACTTGCTCTACGCGGTTGTTATCCGTTCTTCATGCTGGCGGACTTGACGGCTTTTCATCACACCGAGGAAATTACTACCATGACAAGGCGTTTACATGTATCTGACGGCCATGAGTTCGATGCCTGCATTCTGGAGCGTTCTGTACGAGACATCATCAGCACCGCCTGTTCGAAATCAGGCATGTCACTTACGAGAACGGGGTAGTTTGCACAATGTATAGAGAGGGCCAGTAAGGCATGAATAAACGAAGCCCAGAGTGAATAACAGAAGGCAGTCGAAAATGATTGCTCTCCGTGACTGGATACGCAAACACCCTCTATTCCAGCGTTTGAGGAAGACCTCCTACCCGTCATCGCGGTCAAGCACCACTTCCATGGGTCGGCGTACACTGGCCACCTTGGCGCGCATGCAAGTCCGGAATCTTTCGTTCAAGAAGAAATGTATATGCGCCAGCAGCGGACTTGCGCGTAATGTCCGTACAGCATACATTGTTCTGAGAAGCCTGGCCCTTCGTGTGACACGGTGTCGATGTCTGGGACGATATGTGTGGAGTGCAGGTCAAGGACGCCCAGAGACGACACGTATCCCACGAGGACATGCATGCGAGTACACCTTCCTCCTCCGACTAGAAAATCCGCGTCGTCCATTGTTGCTTGAGCGTATCAGATGCCATGGGCAGAATTCCGAATTCATCCCGTAAGACTGATCCCAGTAATGGATACCGGTCGCGATTAAAATCCCGCATATACAATGAATGCTCTTCGTTGGCACGAGTAATTGCGAGAACGCCGTCGCCAGAAGCAATCTCATAGATTGGTACTCCATCGGACAATCGACCGTTGATAGGGAAAGTCTCGGGTGGACCCCGCTGGAATTTATAGCCTGACAACGATCAAGGTAGGGGCATCTATAGGACCCCCGTGATCCGCAGAAACGTGCAGAACGGTTCAGTCACCTTCCGCATAGGGCCTTGCATGGCCTCAGTGCTGTAACTGAAGGCGTTCAAGTATCGAGGGCCGCGGCATTTACCGATGGTCGCCGATGGGCTTCGCGAGTTCAACATTCGTGGCAAGTCGTCGGAACTGCCTGAGGAAGAACCACGAACTCGGTGTTCACCTGGCACTGAGAATAAATGTCGACCCACAGTACGTGGTGCAGGGACATGGATTCGGTCGGTGATACCGGGAGATGGTTTGTGAATATTCAAAACCTGCTTGAATGAGTGGATGCCAGTGGCGAGTCGAACAGGTGGGCTTCGTGGTGGCCCTCAATTTGCTGCCAACGCCGCAGAAACGGTGGCTTTGGGGATATAGGGCTTCTTCCAGAGACGCCATAGCCCCGAGGACCGTCCCACTGGGCACCATCCCAGCCTACGTGGCGCCTAGCATTCGTAAACTTTGTCGTGCAGAGTCAATGTCGTCTTTTGAGTTTCGTCGCCGAACTTGGATGATTCAACGAGAATGGCGTTCTTCAAAGTGACCATGTGTGTAAAGTAACTACAGAACGATGATAGCGACATATTAATCATAGTCGGACTGTGCTGTGTATGGGCTGAATAACATTACAGCCTGCCCGTTCATGGTTCAGCGTTCTGCGAGATTACTCCAAAGGCCCGAGACTACACTTCCACTGAAGTGCTCGATGTTCTCTCAATCTTTTGTTCTTTGACCACACCACAAGCCAGAGGCTTGTCTTCCTCCGCAGCTTTTGTTTTCTCGGCGAGGTCTTGACGTGATGAAAAGCCTGGAGGCGCCCATTTGCGCGATGTCCAAGGTTTGCAGTTGGGATCGATATACATCTACAAGGCAGATCAGCAAAGTTCAGGACGCAATATATTATGGAGAACGCACCATGTTGACGTTCTCCAGAGAGAGATCAGACGATTCGTAGAGGAAGAAATAAACAACGACGGCGCCCAATAAGTTGCATGCTGTAGACATCATCTACCTAAGTAGCGCATTTCGCTGCGTGGAAATAGCAAGACGCACCCGCAAACACATAACCGTATCTGTAGCCTATGGCACGACTGATGAAGGGTGTGAAGAATGCGAGCAAAAAGTTCCAAGTCCAGTTGGCAGCAGTCGATAGACTTCCTTGCTTCGCACGTGTTCGCGTTGGGAAAGTTTCGCCAATCAAAATCCAGACGCCGCTGCGTCGAGGATGCAAAATGTTCAAGTCGGAAAGACACTGAAACAATCTGCACTCACGGAGCCCAAGTCATCGCGTAGCCCCAGATGAACATGCACGCGGAAATTATCATGACTAAATTGGCGATGATTACTTGCAAACCGGGATTCGTGAATGGAACACACGCACGCTTTCCAATACCTGGATGGGTGACAGGATCAATAGCTGTTCCCGCAGAGGCAAAGACGAAAAGCCAGGCAGATTGCCATATGCCGCCGAGAATCAGGGGCCTACGACGCCCAAACTTTGTGCAACGAGAGTGAGAAGAAAGCACGTGGGATTTGATATGAGGCGCACTCTTTCCATGACGTACATGCCGCCGAATGTGCAGAAGAAATTCACAGCACCGAGGATAATCTGAGTGATGAACGAGTCAGAAAGACCGACAGCCTGGAATACGGTAGCGCCGTAATAGAAGAAGTAGTTCGCGCCAGTAAGTTGCTGTAGACTTTGCAGACTCATGCCAAGAAGCGTGCGGTAGAGGGTCTTGTTTTGGGGCCGGAAGCAATCAACCCAGCCGCCCTTCGTGTTCTTCTCATACTGAACATTAGCTCTAATTTCCTCGACTTCACGTTTGATGATGTAGTGGTCTTTCGCTTCGTTTGGGGTGAGACCACGAGCGCGTGCAAGGGACACGCGTGCCTCTTCCAAGTGGTCGTGTGCGGCAAGCCATCTTGGGACGCAGAGTTAGACAGAGAAAGATAAGTAGAACGTTGTAATCGTTCCTTGGACTTTCGGGCATAAACAATATGCCAATACCAAGAATCAACGCCCACAAAATGCCAATTGCAACTGGGATGCGCCAAGAGCCGGATCCACTGACCCCCCTTGTACCTATTGAAATGCAGTCTTGGTGCAAAAGTATGAGCTCCTATTAGAATTTGGACCAAGTCTGAAACTTACATGCCACCAAAATGCCGAAAGTAATGAAGAGCTGGTATGTGGCGCTGATCTAATATTGTAGCTTCGTTACTTGATGATCTATACTAATCACGCACGTCAATGTACCACGGATTTGAGGAGGAGCGGTTTCAGCTTGGTACTGCAAGCCGTTCAGAGGGTATATGTGCATGTACGATAACACCGCTCACCATAGGAACGGCGGCGCTGAGCGCGCCGACCCCCAAGCCACTAATGAGACGCCCGACGGCATATTGCTGCCATGAATACGTTGAGGCAGTCTGAACAATGACCCCTATAATGAAGACGACACATTCCGTGGTCATCGCAAAT